TCATAGTATAGTAAGGCATGAATCTGTCAAAAAATGTCATAGTATAGTAAGGCAAAAAATGCCATAGTATACCAAGGCATAAAAACGTCAAAAAACGTCATAGTATAGTAAAGCATGAAATTGTCCAAAAACGTCATAGTATTGTAAGGCATAAAATGTCATAAAAATGTCATAGTATAGCAAGCCATGAAACTGTCCAAAAACGTCATAGTATAGTGAGGCATAAAATGTCATAAAAACGTCATAGTATAGTAAGGCATAAAATGTCGTAAAAACGTCATAGTATAGTAAGGCATGAAACTGTCAAAAAATGTCATAGTATAGTAAGGCAAAAAATGCCATAGTATACCAAGGCATAAAAACGTCAAAAAACGTCATAGTATAGTAAGCCATGAAATTGTCCAAAAACGTCATAGTATTGTAAGGCATAAAATGTCATAAAAACGTCATAGTATACTAAGGCATAAAAACGTCAAAAAACGTCATAGTATAGTAAGCCATGAAACTGTCCAAAAACATCATAGTATAGTATGGCATAAAAACGTCAAAAAACATCATAGTACCGCAGGGCATAAATAGTATATGAAGGAATAAAAAGTTATAAAAACGTCTTAGCATTTAAGGCATAAGAACGTTGAAAAATTTTATAGTATACTGCGGCATAAATTGTCATAAAAATATCATAGTATAACAAGGCATAAAAAGTTATAGTATACTAAGGAATAAAATGTTCAAAAAACCTCATAGTATAGTAAGGCATAAAAACATCATAGTATACTAAGGCATGAAATGTCACCAAAATGTCATCGTATAGTAAGCCATTAAAACGTCAAAAAAAGTCACAGTAAGGCAGTAAGTCACATAGTAAGGCATAAAAACGTCATTGTATAATAAGGCATGAAAGTTATAAAAACCTCATAGTACAGTAAGGCATAAAATGTCATAAACGTCATAGTATAGTAAGGTGTAAAATTTCATAAAAATGTCATAGTTAGGCATAAAAAGTGAAAAAACGTCATAGTATATGAAGGAATAAAAAGTTATACAAACCCCACAGTATAGTAAGGTTAAAAAAACAAAGTAATTAAAACGTCATAGTATAGTAAGACATAAAAACGTAAAACACTACATAGTATAGTAAGGCGTGAAAATTTCATTGTATAATAAGGCATGAAAAGTTAAAAAAGCCTCATAGTGTAGTAAGGCATAAAATGTCATAAAAATGTTATAGTATCATATGGAATAAATTCCTCAAAAAACCTGACAGTATTGTAAGCCAGAAAATGTTATAAAAACCCCATGGTATAGTAAGGCAGAAAACGTCATAAAAACATCATAGTAGAGAAAAGAATAAATAGTCACCACAACGTCATATTCATTTATTCATTCAATCTTTATTAGGGACACAGCTCATGGGAGGGGTAAGGGGGTGGGGCTTGTCCATTGAAAAAAATATGAACAAACAGCACAAAAAAACATAAAATCAACTCCAAACAAAAAACATTCCACAATACTCAGACATTTGCACACAGGTTGCAAAGCCAGTGGTTCCACAATCTCGATGAGAACCTGACAGAGCTCAGTTCAGGCTTGGTTAAGGCTGAAATAATACCATAGTATAGTAAGGCATAAAAACGTCAGTAGTAGTAAAGAAATACATAAAACATCAAAAAATGTAATAGTATAGTAAGGCATAAAGTGTCATAAAATATCACATCATATTATAGTAAGGCAAAAAAACGTACTACATAGTATTGTAAGGCAAGAAAAGGTAAAAAAATGTCACAGTATAGTAATGTTTAAAAACATCAAAACAAGTCATAGTATAGTAAGTAATAAAACATCATTAAGGCATAAAAACGTCATTGTATAATAAGGCATGAAAGTTATAAAAACCTCATAGTAACGTAAGGCATAAAAAGTCACAAAAACGTCATAGTATAGTAAGGCATAAAACGTCATAAAAATGTCATAGTTCATGAAGGAATAACAAGTTATAAAAACGTCTTAGCATTTAAGGCATAAAAAGTCATAAAAACATCATAGTAGAGAAAGGAATAAAAGGTCATAAAAACGTCATATTCATTCCTTCATCCAATCTTCATTAGGGACACAGCTCATGGGGGGGTTGGGGGGGTCATCCATAGAAAAAAATACCAACAAACAACACAAAAAAACATAAAATCAACTCCAAACAAAGAACATTCAACAATACTCATACAGGTTTCAACGTGAGTGGTTCCACAATCTTGATGAGAACCTGATGGAACTCAGTTCAGGGTTGGTTAAGGCTGAAATACTACCATAGTATAGTAAGGCATTAAATGTCATAAAAATGTCATAGTTCATGAAGGAATAACAAGTTATAAAAACGTCTTAGCATTTAAGGCAAAAAAAGTTATAAAAACTTCATTGTATAGTAAGGCATAAAACGTTATAGTATAGCAAGGCATAAGAACGTTGAAAAAATTAATAGTATAGGAAGGTAAAAAAATTCAAAGGTGTCATAGTACAGTACAGTATAAAAATTTCAAAAAACTTAATGTAGTAAGGCAAAAAAAGTCATAAAAGTGTCATAGTATAGTGAGGCATAAAACGACATAGTATAGTAAGGCATAAAAACGTCAAGAAATGTTATAGTATAGTAATGCATAAAAACATAAAAACAAGTCATAGTATAGTAAGGCATACTATTTGTCAAAGAACGTCATAGCATAGTAAGGCATGAAACGTCACAGTATACTAAGGCATATAATGGCATACAAACGTCAAATATTGTTAGTTATAAAAATGTCATAGCATAGAAAAGGCATAAAAACAATAAAGAATGTAATGCATAAAATGTCATAAAAACATCATGGTATAGCAAGGCATAAAAACGTCATACTCTTGTAAGGCTTAAAATATCATAGTATAGAAAAGGCACAAAAATGTTAAAGAATGTAATAGTATAGTAAGGCATAAAAAGTCATAGTATGGTAAGGCATAAAAAGTCATTGTACAGTAAGACATAAAAGATGTCATAGTATAGTATAGTAAGTCATAAAAAAATGCCATTGTATAGTAATGTCATAGTATAGTAAGGTAAACTCTACACAGAAAGGCCCCAGGCCCAGGAAGTCATAGTATAGCAAGGCATAAAAAAGTCAGTTAGAGTTGCCAATTATCTAAATGTGCATGTCTGGACTGTGGGAAGAAGCTGGAGTACCTGGAGACAACCCACCCAGGCACATGGAGAAAATTCAAACTCCACACAGAAAGGTGCCAGCCCTTATAGTAAGGTATACAGAAGCCATAGTATAATAAGGCATAAAAAGGTCATAGTATAGTAAGGCATTAGAGGGTTCAAACCGAGAAAGTACTGACAGTGAGGCAACAGTTCTAACCACCACTCCACCATGCCGCCTCTTATATTGAAGGGCATCAGCTGTTCTACAATCCAGTTGGCCTATATTTACTTTCTATTTACAATATAACTTTTCCTTTGTCATACTAGTGGGCTGATTTACAAAACAGATCATGTGTGAGATATAAGTCATACATTTCCACATCATTTCAACAGTATTTATATATATTTATACATATATTTATACATATATTTGTCGGGGATGATGATATCCTGGTGAAAGGTTGTGGATAACTAAATAATTTGTTTTCTATTGCCCCTGCCGGTAAGAAATCCATTTCACATTCAAATCAGTGGGAGTAAAAAAGTAGGCCTCCCTTGTTGTTGCTCTGCGTCCAGGCCGGATCACATGGTAGGATTTGCGCATGCGCGAGGGATTAGCCTCTGATGGAGAGAAGATGCCCACTGCCATCGTCCCTGTGTAGCGCAGGAGAGCTACAAACCGGTCCTATCGCCGCAGACACCCCTCGCTCTGTTGTCTTTCAGCACAGCTGCATGTTATAGCCTGACACAAGAAGCTCGATGTCTGTGGCAAATGCGAAACACACTGTCCTGAATCCGGTAAGAGGCTTATTATCGTTATTATTATTATTATCTACATCAGCCCTGTCATGCCATCATGCAATGATCAATAGACCCTCCTGTAGCTTATAATGCAGCTAGAAACTCTGTGCAAGTCGCTGTGTTGTCAGCATGTGTCTAGACACGGCCTGCACACCCGACTGCTCCATGTATATTCTAGACAATGGATGAGGCTCAGAGGCGTTTCATTTTAGCTCCCTCATTTTAGGCAGCATGTCATCAGTTGTTGTCAGTGCAGGTATCCAGTGCTTCAACGTCAGCTCTCCACCTCAGGTGATCCCATACACAGGGCCCATACCTGGAGGCCTGCACCCTGGGGAGATCATCATCATCCAGGGCACTGTGCCCCCAGATGCTGACAGGTAAGGTTTATTGAAACCAGATAATAAACCGAAGATGTGTGGGTTATGATATGTCTTTCAATCTGATTAGTAAACTCAGCATTTAATATTTTTATCAGGAAAAACTTTAAAATGCTGTCTTGCCTACTTCAGTGGTTCCCAAACTTTTAAACCACAGCACTCCTTCCTATTTATTTTCTTTTCTGTACCCACACTCACAGCACCTACACACTACCAACCTTTTCAGCTAAAATGACACCATAGATATCTAATGTAAAGGCCTTTTCTCAATCTTTCTGAAAAGAAATATTTACCTCAAATTACAGGGAAAAAATGCTCAGTTTTATTTTTTCAATTTCATGCAATTGTTGCCTTGTTTTTAGGAGGTGAAACATTATGAAAAATATACTATATATTATATATATTATATTATATATATATAATATAGCACCTTTGGCCCATACTCAAGGCGGTGTCTTTGGCAACACCTGGTCTATTTGTTTGGACACAGTGGAGCATTATCTGATCACCAACAAGATGATGTTAAGAATTATTAAAGTTATTAATTGTCCAAAATATTTCTCCTCAAAGATATGGCTTTTAAAGGAATTTCTAATGACGTGAGCTACAAGATGAGTTTGGTTTAATTTTAGCTCAGCTATAACTTATCTAATCATTGCTTCTGGAATCATGATTTATTCATTTATTTATTCATTTGTCAAACTAAAATAATAAAAGTCTTAAAACTACACTCTGATATCACTGTATAAGACATGGCCACTAGATATAGTAATAATGCAGGACTGGCTTGTGTTATTAATATACTTTAGTGATCCAAATTCCCTAACAAATTAGCAGTTAATCAAATTATGAAAACCTTATGACACACAGTGAACCTGGAACCTTTGGGGGTCTAGGGCTCCGGGGCAGTTCCTGGCTTTGCCTTGTCTTTAATCCAGCCTCGGTCTGCGCCCTTTCTGCAGGTTTCAGATTGACCTGTCGAGCGGCTGCAGCACCAAGCCGCGCTCTGACGTCGCCCTCCATTTCAGCCCTCGCTTCAAAGGCTCGCCCTGTGTGGTGTGTAACTCCCTGCTGCAGGAGAGCTGGGGCAAAGAGGAGACGCTCCATCAGCTGCCCTACAAACGCGGAGCGCCCTTCGAGACCATCATCCTGGTGCATGATGACGTCTTTAAGGTCAGTGAACCCATGCTGCTAAGGATGAAGGCATCGACAGAGTCAATGTTGTACCTATAAACAACAAAAGCATTTACTAATTTAATTAATGAGAAAAAACAGGGTTATAAAATATTTGTCTCCACCCATAGGTGGCTGTAAATGGTACTCACCTGTTGGGATACAAGCATAGAATCCCACTCAACAGGGTCGACACGTTTTCTATTTCTGGGAAAGTCAGGGTGCACGCTATTGGCTACATCCCAAACTCAGTAAGTACAATCCCACCCCTTATTTTTCTTTATTTTTTCTTCACAAGCCGGTTAGATGTGTGCTACTTTTATAGATACATCTGTTTATTCATTTCTAAATGTGGCTTTTCTCCCTCTTAGGCAATATATTCAGAATCAGGTGACTTGGTGAGTTTTTCCTTTTGCGTCATCTACATAAAACCCATCTGCCTTAATGAGAATGAGCCCAGTATCTTGTGATGCTGCTAAAACTGGATCACACTTCCTAAATGACTCCCTTGTTTGTGCACTGTCGACCCTTCACTTCAGCGTGCTGCACTCAGACCTTTAAACAACACCTCTAGTTTATTACAACCTGTGTTTGATTCTGTGATAACGCTGTAGTCACTTAAGTAATTACTAAGATCTGGGTACACGTCTGCAGCAAAGTCCAGTCAGGCAAGAAGCATGAGCCTTCAGGCAATCAGAAAAGGTTGTAAATACAGTTTAGCCTGATAATCCAAACCTCTTTATATGGAGGAGAAACGCAAAGTGAAAGTACTTCTTTTTATAGATAACACGTTGGGCCTTATCTGCACTGCACATGAAACGCCGAAATAATAGCTGCTTCAGATGTGAACACTGAATGCTTTCTTATTTACATTTACACCTACATATTGTATACATATATACTATCACTCATACACTCTCGCATCATATTTCAGTGCAGTCATGTAGAGTACATACACACATAATAACATGTTGTTTTTTATCCTGAATCTGTTTTGTCCACCTATTTGTTTAGCTGAATTTAAAAGCCTAACCGGGGATACTGGCTACAAATTAGCTTCAGCTACATGTATATACATTATATCTGTTGCATTGGTTCTCCCTGTGTAACAATTCAATAAAATGACAAGAGAGGGCTTTAGAGGGCTCAGAAATAGAGCTGCAACCTTTAGTCGATTCATCAATTAGTTGACTGACAGAAGGTTAACTAAGTAAAGATTTTGCTAATGAATTAATCATTTTAGTCATTTTTTTTCCAAACAAAAATGCCAAACATTTGTTGATTCCAGCTTCTCAGATTTACTGCTTTTGTTTATGATGTATGATGCAAATGTTGTATTTGGAATTTTGACTGTTGGCCAAACAAACAATCTGAAGATGTCACCTTGGACTGTGGGAAATTACACTGGACATTTCTCAGTATTTTTCATAGATCTCTCTCCAAATTATTCAACTGAATAACCAAGAAAATCATCTGCAAAAAAAAATGTGTCAGCAGTTCTGTTGTCATTTCAGAGCCTCCCTTACAAAGGCAGCATACTCAAAGGACTGAGCCCAGGGCAGCACATCACAATCAAGGGACAGGTCAGCATGTATCCTCACAGGTAAAATGACAAATTAACTTCAACATGACAAGTAAAAGCAGTGTATATGTATGTTACTGATTTGTTTGGGCTACTAACGCAAGTTACATTTATCTCCGGTAACTCCTCCGCTTACAACAGACCAAGCAACATTTCTTGTCTAAAAATGTTTTACCTCTTATCCATGTTTCTTCCAGTTTCACAGTAAACCTCTGCAACAGCAGGACGGAGAACATCGCTCTGCATCTGAACCCCCGCATGAAGTCAGGGGTGTTCATCAGGAACTCATACCTGAGTGAGTCCTGGGGTCAGGAGGAGCGGGAGCTGCCCTTCTTTCCCTTCTCGTCAGGGGAGTACTTTGAGGTAGGATCCATCTACAACTTAACTTTACTTTGAAAGGGTTACGCTGTCAGTTGTACTGGACGTTGATAACACTGTAGGTTTTTAATATCACATCCTCAAACCATGATGTTTCTCAGTATGTTTGTATATTGAGTTGTGACTGTTCCTCAATGGGTTTTTTTTTGTCGTTTTTGTTTCAGATTCTCATCCTCTGTCAGCCCCATCAGTTCAAGCTGGCAGTGAACGGCTCACACTTGTTTGAGTTCAGACATCGGGTGCAGGACCTGAGCAGCATCAACCAGCTGGAGATCATGGGAGACCTGGAGCTGACTGATGTTAAACTGTGGTGACTCGGGACTCTAGACATACACAGAAACCAGCGTTACAGACACTGTTGTGTTCTGGTTATCAATGCTAAATTAGCTTAGCCACAATGACCCAGATGACTTTGGGTTTGAATTTCAGGTCCAGTTAGTCTCACAGCAGCCACAGGTCAGTGATCTTAAGCTAGTCTAGCATTTTTGGTGGCCAAGGACCATGAACAGGTCCTACCATAGACTAAATGATCCATCTTTCCAGCCCAGGCTAGAGGACTGATGCATGAGAGCTAGCTGTGCTGGAGCATCAGGCTGTGAGCCCACCATGACTGTTTACAGCTACAAGTTAGGTTTGCCTTGGTTAATTTCTTATACTGTCTCTAGTGCATCTCTGCTGTGATACGCCATTAGTGCGTTGTATAATTAAAACAGGAAATATATGTACATGTCAATAAGCACTTAATTACTGGCTTTGTTTAAATGTCATGACAGTCGGTAAATACAAGCAATGAATGCAGCTGAAGGGCTCCATTTTTTTGGAGCAAGGCCCAATAAAGACTAATTTATTGTACAGCTAATTTAAATATGTTCAAAACATCCTTCATAATTACTACATAATTTGTAGCGGTTATACTCTCTTCATTTGGGGTGGCAATGTTAAAAATTTTTAGTATATGGTCAGTTAATATTTTCATCTCCAGATTTTTTAACATAAAATTTAACTACATGCCCAGTTCTGCATTATTTCAGTCAACTTCATAATCCTCAGGATTCTTTAACATATGACATCGCCCCGCATACTTGACATTTAAATCAACTTATCATGTGATGGTGCAGCAGAACTCAAGCACAGTGCAGTACAGGGTCAATTTAAAACATAACTATTTAAATAACCTAACAAATACAGTTTTTTGCAATCTTTATGCAAGCTATAGAGTATACTAGAATCCTGCATATGTGACCTTCTCTTTTCTCACTGTTCCCCCACTCCTGCTCCAAAATGAGAGGAAACATCCCAGGTGAAAAAAAAATGTAATCTGGGATATTTAATTTCCAATGTTACTGGGGGTCTTCCGTTTTTTGCATTGTCTGTTGTAATTGTTGTAATATATGTATGAAAAATCTTCCCTATGTATCATAAATGATTTAATAATAAATAAATGTGTTACTATTATAATTTGTTTCAAGTGTTTGTGTCTACATGGTTTTATGTTAGGTTGTTTAGAAACTTTCTACTTTTAGGTTGATTAAACTGAAGCTGCTACAACTCTTATTTAGAATAAATGAAAGAAAAACTGCACTTTCACCTGCAGTACTCATGGTCAACCACAAGGTGGTGGAAGAGACTTAAAAGTTGGCTGCCTTTTATTACCCTGACACCTTCACCAATCACCATCTGTCAGTGAACTCCAATCTCTTTTATTTTGGTTGAGGAAACAGTAATTCCCTCTTTAAGGCAACAACAAATCACTTTCAGTAATAGTGCAAACTGAGTCCTTGTTTGAGTCTGTACATCTCTCTCAAGGTTGGTGCCTGAGGCCTTACCAGGACCTCTGTCAGGATGAATGGGAGACTGAACGGCCTAAAGAACATCTTAACCTTGTTTGAGCATCCATAAACATTCATCCGACAGGCTGGTTTTTAAATCCGTCTCATTTACATCAAATGACCACAGGCACTGGTCACAAGATGAACTTAAAGGAAATGTCATCACCACATGACTCACATTAGAACATACTGTTATTCCCTCTAAACCTGAATATTAATGAAATCATATCTGATAAAAAGTTGGTGTTTTATTAACATCCACAGGAAATAAAATAATTTGTAAGTTGTAATAACCATGGTATAATACAACAGTCTCTTATTTTTTTTTTTAACATAGAAAAAGCAGGATGATATGCAACATGATGACATCAACCATTGCACTGCTGAAAATGTCCAAGAAAAAAAGGCAAAAGACACAGTCCAATCAGCAACAGGCAAGTAGGCTAAAGTTTGTTTTACAAAAAAATCTGTCAGACCTGTGATCCATTGACAGAAATTCAGCCTTCTGACCAAAAATGTCATGTACTGTCTCAAAACATGTATTTTTTGCTTGAAATGGCTCACAGACATACGCCACTTTGAAAAAGAAACTCCCCTGTCCGCTCTCCAGGAGCTAATGGATTACGCTTCCCTTGAAGTTAAAAAAAAAAAAAATAGGAGAGGGAAGCCTATGTCTGAGTTGTCATACGCTCCACCACACAAGGAACCATCTCTCCAAGTTCCAGTGGAGAGATTTGGCAAGATAGTGGCTGAGGACTGGAGAACTGGTTTCACTTCGGTTCAGTCATATTCCACAGTTTCTAGCAGCTGAATTTAAACCACAGCGTTTTTTTTGTCAAATGTTAAATTCAGTGCGAGAGCGATGTGGTCCAAAAGTGGCACAGAAGAGTTTCATGGGTTGGATTCATGTTTTCAGGAGGGAGGCGGTGGGAGGAGGGGGTATATATCCCATTGTCAGACGGAGCTGAGCTTTACTAATCCTCTGACAGAGTCCTCGTGCAGTGAATCCTGACTGGCTGGGTTGAAGAAACTGGCCTGCATGGTGTGGCTGTGACCCATGGGGCTGCCGCAGGGAAGCATACCTGGAGGTGAGGGCACTTCCTCTGGGGTAAGAAAGTGGTGATGGGCCAACGGCTCCTGGAGGGGGTGGCTGTGGTTGTGTGTATGGCTGTGTCCGTGGATTGGTAACATGTCGGTGGCCTCGTGGCAGCTGAGGCTGGGGGTGGACGTCGGAGGTGTTGGCTGGCCGAGGGGGAGTGAGGTGCACGGGCCGGCCAGAGTGAGGGAGGTGCGGCCGGGTAAAGAGCCTCCGTTTTCAGGGGAGGCCGTCAGGATGACTGGCTCGCTGCTCTGCTGCTGGAGGAGAGGTGTGGCGGCGGCCTGCAAAACGAATTTGGTGCTCTGAATGCACTGGTCTTGGTCACACTGAGAGAGAGCAGCAGAAAGCACAAGGAAGAAAGAGAAACAATATGGGAGGGGATGTGAAAGTCAAAGAGATAGATAAGATGCCAGAGGTGGAAGACAGAAATAGAAAACAAACAGGAGAGAGGCAGTGTTGAAAATGAGATGGAGAACAGGAAAGAAGAAACGAGACAGTGGATTAAGGAAAACAGAGTAAGTGGGAAGACAACAGAGGAGGGGACAGTGATTGGATAAGGGAGAGAAGAAAGAGAAAAAGATGTTAGTACCCCTTTTAGAATGCAGAGCCACACAGAACCCGCACCAGCTTGTGCATCTGCCCCAGTAAAAACAGCTGAAGTCAATACAGAGTTGGAAACACAGGGTTATTAAGTCACTGCTTCATGGCCTATTGATCTCTACTGCCTTGCTTTAGAGTGCAAATCACACGTCTAAAACTGGACCACAGTAACTGGGTTAGGACACAAAGAGTCATCAATACCACACATTAGCTACAGGGAGTTTAGCTTTAACCCCATTAGCCCTTTATCACCACAGAGCGATCATGTGCATTAGAGACCAGTTACAGATGATAGAACACTAGTTGTGCAGAGGTGACAGGAATTAAAAAGCCATATAAACAAATAGGAAAAGTACTTTGATGCCTCTCCTCCATCCCACACCACTCCCACAGTCTGACTGACAAGAAAGTTGAAACACTAAGATTTTTCCCAGGCATCTCACCTTTCTGTCTCAATCACACTGACCTAAAAAGAGCAGATTGCAGATGTGATTTAAACAGATGTTCAGCTACCTTTGACAGTGGAAGAGAAGTAACTCTCAGTATTATCAATCGTCTTATCAGCCGCAAGCATCAACTGCTCTCGACTTATCGTCACCTTTACAAGCCTGGCTTCTCTCCAGGTTGTTGAATAGACTAACTGGAGCGAGGGTTACCGGACTGAAATGACAGAAACGTAACTCGCTGCCACGTTAGCACACAGGTACATCACCAGCGCTCTGTCCTTTAATTTCTATTTTCTGGCCCGCTCGTGTTTTATAAACACTCAGTCAGACTGACTGAGCTTTGTCAATCCCCCACAGCACACACGCACATGCACACACAAGGAACACTATGTACGTAGACTGCTGATAGACTAACCTTGGATAGCAAATAGCAAGTGAGGCAGCACAGGCTGTGTTGTGGTTGGCTTTCACACGTAATGGAGATGACACAACAAGGTTCCTCATCAAAAATTTTATCCGGTATTTGTATTTTATTCTTGGCACTTATCACAACTTCTTGACTGAACAAACATGGCTTATCAAGATTACACCATTCTAGTGGTGGATAATAATTAATAGAGAAAGAAAAATATCACATATAAAACCACAGTGGGTCTACAAACACAACATATGTAAAGGTAATAGATTTTCTGTTTACAAGCAAAAATGTCAAATTCTCCTTCAAGCTTCTCAATTATAAGGGTTTGATGCTTCTTTTATATTGTTTGAACATCTTTAGATTTGGGAGTGTCAGTTGGACAAAACAGGGAGTTTGAAGATATCCCCCTTGGACTCTGGGAAATTGCGATGTCATCATTTTTCACTTTTTCTGACACGTTACCGACCAAATAATTAATTGACAATGGAAATCATGATTAGTTGCAGTCCTGCTCTCCAGTCTTTTTGTGCAATCCAAGTCAGTGTGTGCAAGACTTTCCACTTCAGACCCTTCAGTTCACCAGCCAGCCACAATTGTAAGTTTATTTCAGTAATTGCAATGTCATGAAGAGGATGCATCCAACCTTGTAAACAAAATGAATGAGCTCCCAAAGATGAAACTTTTTATGTTCATCTTTTAACATGTCTCAAGATGAGGTAGTTGACTCCGGCAACAAGTTGGGAGATTACAGTCATTTATGTTATTCCTGACAACAGTACCACTGAGCAGGTGACTGTTAATACGTTGTGCATTCTTCTGGGTACTAAGGTGGCACATTTGGTTGAACTGATCTGAGCAAGAATCTACTAGATTTCTTACCATTATTTCATTTTTTATAAAACAGACTAAACAAAGTCTAAATATTGATTATATCCAGCTCAAAGAAACAAGCTGGGTATTCTGGGTGAGTGTAACACCCTCAGTCATGCAGCTGAATGTAAGAATACTGATTGACTACTCACTGAACTAAGAGGGAGTAGTCAAACTGAAACAAGGCTGTGGAGAGTCACTCCCTCATACCTCCCTATCAGCCAGGAAATGGTGGTTGATCAAGTTGCCCTGTGTGTGTGTCTTGTATAAAAATAGTTTGCAGCTCACAAAAGGAAAAGGACAGAGAGAGAAAGGAAGGAAGGAACAGAGAGGATAAATATTTACAAAGACAAATGCAAATTGTGTATCATGAGGTTAACAGACCAAAATCAAAATTATAACAATATATTTTCTGAGTAACACAGTGGTATCTACCATGCAGATATTTTTGGTTTTATTTACACTAGAAATGACAGGAATTTTGTTTGTAATGCACATAGCAAATCCCACACATACCTGAATTGAAAGAGGACTGCAACAAACAAAAGCAAATTATTAATCTGTCAGTTTTTCTTTTAGATGAATTGCTTCATCATTTAGTCAATAAAATGTCTCCAGAGCCCAAGGTAACGTCTTCAAATGGCAAGTTTTGTCCAACCAACAGTCCAAAACCCAAACATTCAATTTTTAGTTAAATAAAAAAAGAAAAGCAGAAAATCATGGCATTTGACAAGATGGAACCAGACAGTGTTTGGCATTTTTGCTTGATGAATTACTTTCAAAGATTAACTGAATATCAGAACTGTTAATTAACTGTTAATTTTTTATAAACTAATGGATTAACTGACAAATTATTCCAATATAATATGAAAAATTTGAGATAAATACAGACCCTGACGCGCATGGAAAGATACCTATAGAGGCCAGTGAGAAAATCTATTGTTTGTAATTTGAGTGAACTGACCCTTTAACTGAAGGCAACAATCACTGCTTTCAGTCAAATTGTATCTATTTTCCCCACGTAAGTCAAATCCCAAATGCAGGTTTTATGTTATCGAGGTGTTATGTGACATCATATCACACAGAGTTACCATGGCAACCACTTACAAGGCTTCTGCATACCAGGCTGTCGTTTTAAGC